AACCCATCACCCCTTGTCCTGTCGCTCCAGTCCCTGATGAAGAGTCCCTCTGCAGCATCCTTGTAGCCCCCTTTAGACACGGGATACCTGTTTTGTGCACAACTAGGGATCAAAATCTGCTTGAAAAGCATGTCCAGAACAGTCTAATTGCCATTGCCAGGTGCGAGTGAATTTCTTCTCCTTCCTTGAGCCAACAGCAACAGATAACGATCTTAAGGTCCTTTCCAACCCTAACTATTCTATGATTCTATGATAACCTTGTAAGCTATGACAAAGTAGCTCCAATTCCATCACCTGCATACATCATGAGGCACCTGGAAAAGCTACACTTTGGCCTTTGTTATTAACATTCCCTGGAGACAGAATCTGAACATGGGATCATTCATCTATTTATTAATTACAAATTTAATCGTGTCTATGGAGTAGAATTGACACCAGTCAGCAAGTGAATCATCATGCCAGGACAGAGGAAAAGGAACTGTGCCACTGACCACTCACAGACACTTAAGCCCACTAAGGACAGAGAACGCAAGCTTCAGCCAAGCACAGCTTGTCCTCACTGCAAGCACAAAAAAACCACAACTGCCCAAGCTCCTGTGCAGCAACGTTCCAAGACACAATGCAATGCTATAGATCAAAGATTGACTGATGCTACTCACCCGACTCTGAACACATCAGCTAGCTTCAGGAAAGCCGAATTAATGAGAATAGGGAAGGGATATTTCTGGAAGAGCCTGGGAAAACGAACGACGGCTTCGCACTGCTCCCCGAGCTTCCCAGACCTGAGACCTAAACGAGACATCGACAGTCACGGCAGACACCGACACTCCTCCGCAACCAGGCCCCTCTCCACCCCCCGCTCACGGTAAGGCGGTACAAAACCGAGCTCCCGGCCGCTGCGGACCGCAGCCCAGGACGACACCACCCCTCAGAGAGTGGGAGCCGACAGCCCTAACGGCAGCCCTTCGGGGCAAGCAGCCCCAGCGCCGCTCGGCCTCACCTTTGTCGAGCTCCATGAGGGCGGAGTTGGCGTCCAGCTCCTGCTCGCCATAGCCCGCATCGGCCAGGAAGGACTTGGCG